GTTCCAGCAATCAGATTTATTCACTTCGTCAACGATCTATTCGCTCTCACAACTAAGAATTCGTTCTACCAGCAAACGCTTGATTAAAACAACGGATATTTTGTTCCCACAACGAGTTTTTTTTGCAAGCTCCAAATCAACTCAAACATGGGTTGAAGCAACGAATTATTTTTTTCCGTGTAACCAAAAGCTTTCTTCTCGAACGTTGTAGAGTTCACTGTTTGATTCCTTTCCTTACAAAGAGTCTTCTTAGTACGATAAATTGAGTTTGTAGCTTACAAATAGATCCTTTGTGCGTTGCGGAAAGAAGTTTTTTGTAAGAAACGTACACTTTACGTCGAAACGAACCTACCTTTAAAATGGTCGCGTTTCCAGTGCTCTGAGTGGTGCTACTCGGTTTGCTGTTGGTAGAGTGCTGTTTGGAAAGGGGGGATGGGGTGCTGGTGCGCCCCGAGGGTGTGGCTGAGCCATTGCCGTGCTTCGGCTCGGCGCCTTGTAGCTCGGCGCCCCGCAGCCAACGCCCCCGCTCCTCCGTTCAGCCCCCTTCAGCCCCCTTCCCTCATCCGGGGTGATTTGCCGGTCCACAGCTAAGCCCCACGACTGCCTTGACCAGTCTGTTTATTTTCTCCTCCCTCTTTCGCCGGCTACACACGCAGTGGAATTTCCCCCGACCAAGGGTGTCATCATATTTTATTCTGTAATTCTCTTTCTTTCTCTTTCTCTCCGAAACATTTATGAGAAGGTTTATACCTATTGAAATATGGACAAAATTCACGTTTGCTATGTTGTACTACGAAACACTTCAGCAGCTCAATCTAGAAATATTATGTTTTTAGCCGAACACTGCTTTTTTGACCTGTAGTAAGATTACATGAGTAAAGTATTTCGGCAGATTTTATCTACTCTTTAGGAGAAGCTTTTTGTAGAGTTTACTCGTGGAGTAAACCAATAAAACCATACTTAAATTATCGGATTTTGTATTGTCCTGCTTCAGCGTCAGTTACTGCTGAAAACGTAAAAACATATTCTGAATTTGCCCCCTTTCTTGCCTTTTGGTGCTAATTTCAATAGGGCGTTACGCTTTCGTCGGTTGATTTACTTTTGAGCTTGTGGAATTGTTAGCTTTGCGCCAAGCGGAATGGCCGCGGCATGAGTCTGCTACTGCAAGATGTACAAGATGAACTCGCCTGCGAGTGCCCCAGTAGTGTCTGCACACCTCTGCGAAGGTGAACCCCCCCGAGGACGCGGTAGGCGCCAGCAAACAAGCTCGCTGCTCATATTCTGCAGGGTGCCAGCCGGAAGCAGAGGCGGTGCCAGCCGGAAGTAGGCCGCGCCCGCCTGCAGTAGATTAACCCTTTGAGACGAACGAGCCTGCTGGGCGGGGCGCGCGTCGGGGCGAGTCCTCCGCTCCCCGTGACGCATAGGCCCCGGGGGCCCGAGGTCGTGTGACGCTCGGGGCCCTCCCGTCCTGCGTAGCCCCGCCTCCCGCCAGGAAATTGAAATGGAGCAGGTGCAGGGGGAAATACTGCCGGGCGTCGCGGGGCGCGGTGTCGCGCAGGTCAAACAGCGTCCCGGGAGGCTCTGCTGGCCCCGCTGATTGAAACACCTACCAGCTCTCTTCTCGCTGCAGCGAACCGGCCGCGCCCCAGCAGCCCTTGCGGGTATGCAATCCCGCAACACTGCTGCACATTCTCAGTTACACCCGGTACAACCAGGAGTACCTCGAAGTACCTTCAGCCTTGTGCTGGGCTGGAGGTCTTCGAGAATTTCTCGCACTCTGCGGTTACAGCAGGTTTTCCAGTTCCGCAGTGGCAAGGTCGAAGTTCACTGTGAAAATAAGTGTTGTAAATTTACAACACCCTTGA